TCACTCACATACCTGGCACTCAGCTAGCAGCAAAGTCCAAACAACCTGGAGCCTGTGGTCCAATGAGCTCCCCACAACAGAACAGGTAAGGAGCATGAGGCCTGGGGAGCCCCACATGCCCTCACCCTGCTCCTGCTCGCCTCTCTAGCAGCTGGGAGGAGGCAGCTGGGGATGGAGAGGCAGCCTGGGACTCACCTGGAGCCGCTTCATGGCCTCCGAGTCGTGGTCAGCCTTCACCTTACAGGCCACCAGGAGCTGTGCTGTGGAGGCAGCCACCTGCTTGGCGGATGAGATGAGCTTCTCCTCGCTGGCGTGGCCCTGCACGGCTGCGTTGGCAGCTTCACACAGGTTGTTGGTGGCAGCAGCCACCATGCGTGCCTGCAGTGAGAGCAGCTGTCAGGGCAGCCACAGGAGCCTCCTCTGGGGAAGGTACACCCCAGCTGGCCCAAGGAGGCTGTGGGCTACAAGATGGTGACAGCCAGCTTCCACGCCCTGTCTCAGCTGGTGGGAAGAGGGAGCAAGAAGCATGGCTGCTTCTTCTACCAAGAAGAAGTGCAACAGAGAAATACATGCTCATCTTTGAAACAGGACCCAGGAGGTGTGTGTCCTCCCCCCCTCATCCCCTGAACAGGATCTTGATACTCACGGCTGAAATGAGTCCCTGGGACCACTGTCCATCATCCACTGCATTGGCGGGGGGTGGGCCCACCTGTGAGGAAGGAGAGGAGGAGGAGTTAGCCTCACTGCTCTGCACACCCCTTGCCACACGGCACGAGGGCTACAAGCAGCCCTGGTGGAAGAGAGAACCCACCACAGCCCTGTATTTTCTTCTTTCTTTCCCTCTTCCAGCCTTACCTTTCCTTGGGCCACTAACTCTCGCTGGGCTGCTGAAGCCGCCTTCACCAGGGCGCTCGTGGCCGCAGCAATGGATTTGGCAGCTTCCAGGATCTGCTCCTCAAAGTTCAGGCTCTCGTCTGCTTGCTGCAGGCAAAAGCAGGCAGTGATTTCCCAGGTAGGGGTGCTGGGGCAGATGGAGCAGGGGAGGACGATGGCTGAAGGGGGCTTTGGGGGCATACATAAATCTAGACTAAGGGCTGTGGGGTGCAGGAGGGTGCAGGCTGTCCAAGGAAGGTCCAACTAGGAATGTGGGAGGCAGTGGGAGTGCAGGAAGAGGGACTGACTATTGTGTGAGGCTTCACACCTGGCTGCAGCACAGGTAGGAGAACCCCAGCCCACCCCACACTGAGCACAAGGGTCAGCCAAGGCTCAGCACAACTACCTTGGGCTTGGCTCTTGGTTTCAGCTGCTCCAGCTTCTTGGCTGCAGCCTCAATGGCAGCTGCTGCCCCCAGCAGCTCGTTCTCAGCAATGACGGTGGGGTCTTCTGGGTCAACCCACTCCGTCCCTAGAAAAGCCGAAGCAAGACAGGTTAAATCTGTGCGTGACCTGATTTCTGACTTGCTTCACCTCCTTCATTACCTGCTGAGCCCTCCAACCTAATCCCAGCCCTCAGTCCTGCCTTGCTGAGCAGGACCTTTCCTTACCTTTCATGGCCTCAGCTGCCTGGATGAGCTCAGTGACAGAGCTGGCCACACGCTTGGAGTAACCTGCGAGCTGCTGCTTCAGCTCGTGAGTCGGCTTCTGCAGGATCTGTGGGGCAGGAGCAGAAGTGACCACCGTGGAAAAGGGGGGCCTCACAGGTCTATTTGGGGTGCGCTCCCCAGGGAGGGATGGTAGGATCCTCCAGCTCCCCCCCGCATATGCACACATCAGGCATTGTCTGTGATGCTTTCTGGAGTGACCCTGGCTGGTCTCCTCCTGCCTGAGGATGGGATGAGTCTCCCCCAGACCTTCTTTATCTGCAGCCTCTGGGATGTCTCACAGACAAAAGACCCTCAGCACAACCCTTCCTGCACTCAGCAGCTAGCCCCTGCAGCACTTCTCCCCCACTCCAAAGCATTTCAAGCTTTCAGGAAGCACTTTCCTCTCACTGTCCTCATTTTGGAGATTTGCCTGCAAACACAAGCTGGGCAAAGGGAGAGACCCTGGAGCCATGTCCCAGCCTAGGACGGCTGGCCTCAACAGGGACAAGGTGGCAGGCAGAGCCACGAGTGTTGCTGACAGGGGCGGGGACACGCAGACACATGCACACACCACAGCACACGCGTGTGCACAGAGCACCCGTACACGCCAGCAACGCTGCCCGCTGCCTGGCCTGCAGCCCCCCAGCGGAGCCCGTGTGAGTACACACACATGGCCCCCGGGACCCGCAAGTGCCACCCCAGCACTGGGCTGGGCACGCAGACACACCGTGAGCCAGGCTCATGCTGAGGTTAGACACCAACAGGCACCCCAAGGTTGCCTTACTCACCGGCTGACAGGGAGAGAGGGAGAAGAGAGAGAAGACAGCAGTGAACGCCCCGGCTGGGACACGCGGGTGCTGGGGTTGGGGGGCACGGGGAGGGCAGGGGAAGGTGGGTGTTCTCCAGTGAGGGGTGAAGGGCAGCCAAGAGGAGAGGTGGGAACGAAGGATCAGAGGTCCCAGATGGGGAGCTGTGCTGCCGTCATTAGCTCACAGTTCAGCCTGGCAGGGCTGGGGGAGCCAGGGCACCTGGATGAGGCTCCCATGGCCGGAGGACCCCCAAAAAAAGAGCCACCCTCCTCCTGACCCCCTTTACAGCATATTTCTGCCCCCACCGAACTGCTTCACAGCAGTTTTCAGCCAGAAGATCTCTCTGCTTTTGGAGGAAGAGACCTATCGTTACCAAATACCAAGTCCTTGTGGAGGTTCAAATTCCTTCCCCTCCCCAGTGAAATATGCAGCCTTTCCCACCCCTCTGCCGGGAGCCACTGTTTCCATGCCGAGGCAAACAACCCTCCTTCTCTAACTCCAGCCACGCTTGTTCACGCTCCCAGCAAGGCACTGGTTCCCACAGGGACCCAGCAACGGACTTACTGCTGCTGCTGGGCAGCGAGGCAGCATCACATCCGCCCCTCCCCTCCCACTCCCCTACATCCTTCCTGCTCGTGGCTTCCCAGGAACCTGCTGCTCTCTGAAAAATGGGACCCATGTGCCTTGTTCCCACCTTCGCAGGCCAGAGTGCTGCAGAGGATGAGGGGGTTGGTGGTCAGGGCTTTATCCTGGACTTGTGTGTGGCCATCCCGGAAAAGTCACCAGAGCTGTACGTGGCTCGAAGTCCCCAAGCTGATGGCACACAGGGGTGGCTGGTTTGCCCTCATAAGTGCATCCAGACTAAATGCCACATTATTAAGTCTGCTATCTGTTCAGACAACGTGTTTTAAACAACTAAATGGTCTCTACCTGGATCTGAAGGCACCCTGGAGGGAATGACCTTGCTAAGATGCACCTCCAGTGTACATTTCATGGGAGGTAATAGACGTCACATGGCAGCTGAACAGTTACAGCCAAAACACAGCGGAATAGCGTGTTCCTGAAGTAGCCTGACCTCGGGCACTGCCACACTAAGTCATTAGCCCAATCATCTGTTAACAACAGGTCAGCCAGAGAATTTCTCAGCACTCCAGCCTTGGCTGCCGTGACTTACGTGTGGCTAAAGCATCTTCCAGACAGTCATTTGATCTAGATGCAGAGGTTGGAAAACTCACTGCTCCCCTTGGAACTGTACCCCAGTGGCTACCTCCTTTGGATAAAATCACCCTTTGACTTTCCCTTCACCCAGCTTTCAATTTCTAGCTGCTGATTCCTGCCTACCTCCTCTTGAGGCTGACAGTACTGATTACTCTCTGCCTGAAACCACAGTCCAAGCTTCACTGCCTTATATC